AAGAGGGGGGGGGGGAGGGGGCGAGTCCGGCTGAGAGAATAGCCCTCCAGGAATGCCGGAATTAAACTGGCGCCCAAATGGGACTCTTGAACGACGCGGTCGTCTCGTCTTGACGGGGCGGGGACGGGTCCGCCCATGGCGCAGCAGCAGCAGCAGCAGCACGCGTCCGCGGTGGAGGGCAAATGATAACACTGTTGCCTTTTGTGTGTGTTTTGTATGCGCAAAGTGATCTCCCGGGGGGATCTGCGTGATTGTCATACATGACGTACTGCTCGTCGGCGGAGCGGATAAGCGGTTAGCTGCACGCCCCCGCCGGCGCACCACGCAGCAGCAGGAGCAGCCCTGTGCGCGTACGAAAACTGTGCGACTAACAAAATCTCATGTAGTACTCGCGCGCGGGGGTAGCAATATATATCGTTAAGAATGTACACGTCTGTTTGTTTTTTCCGTTTTCTCGGATTTATCATTTGGCAAATTTCAGCTGTAGCGGCACTCTGGCGCCTGCGAGGCTCAGGGTAGGCCGTGCCGCAGTACACGCGCGCGCTGCAGGCGAGAATGTTGCCTACCCACCAGGCGCTATGAGAACTTCATAGGCTGAATGTGCGAGTTTTCGCAAACGGCTAACGACAGTCGTACTTTCAGGATGGTACCACTGGTACATGTGCACTGTTATTAAAAGCGTAAAGTTTTTTTTTATTACAATGTGTCAACATGTTTTATACGCAATTTTCCAAGGAAGTGTTTAACATGAAAATTTCCACACCGTTTTGTTAAAATTCCCTGATGATTGGGAGAACAAAACCTTACGTTTTCAAACTTAAACTGCGTTTACTAACAGAAACATGATAGCTCTTAAACAATCAATTGATCCTCGGGCTAAACTATTGATTTGTGCGCCAGTGAAGTGAGTCCTGCCTTTTTTTTATCTTTAGTCTAGTCGGTCTAGTAATGTCAAATTACTTGCCGTAGTGCTGCGAGTCGTTACGCACTTAAAGCGCGTGCACTGCGTAACCCGCACCCTTGTCACGCACTTTGTGGCAACCGCACACTTGGTCTTGGTTAATATACATCGCGCCTGGCTTGGTTATGCGCTTAAATTGCTGTTGTTGTTGTTGGCCTGATACGGAACTGAGGTTGGGTAGGGGGGAGGCAGGCAACCCCCTGTCGGGTACCCTTTGCAGTGTCTGCCGCGATACGGGGTGCGCGCGGGCGGCACCGGCTGGCCCTGTCCCAGTCCGCCTCACCCGGCCCCGCCCCTACCCGCCTCGCCCAGCCCCCCGCCACGCGCCGCCATGCCCACCCTGCAGCCCCTGCTGCCGCTTACACTCGTGTTTGCAC